TGTAAAAAGAAATGGCTGATCTTCCCACTCTTTGTTTTATATCTAAGGCAGATTAACATGTAACCCTGGGGAAAACCCAGTTGTGGGTTTTTTACCTATCAGAGCCCTAGGTTGGAGGTGGGGGTGACCTCTAGTAAGCTATTTTTAGTACATGTGTAGGTTCTTTTATTTTAATATGTTTTGTCTGTAATGATTCTACCTTAAGAATAAACATGCTTGCTTGGGAGGAGCTGTGAGGTAACTTATAACTGCAGGCAATACACTGATCATAGCTTTTGGAGAGAAGGCAAAACACAGGTGCTGGACTTTTAGGCTGTCTGAGTACATGTAAAGCAGTGGTTCCCAAACTTGGTTCGCGGCTTGTTCAGGGTAAGCACCTGGTGAGCCGCAAGATGTTTTGTTTACCTGGAGCGTCCGCAGGTCTGGCCACTCGCAGTTCCCAGCCTATGGGAGCTGCGGGAAGTGGCGCAGGCTGACCAGGAATGGTGAACCGCAGCCACTGGGAGCTGCGAGCAGCTGCACCTGCAAATGCTCCAGGGGCTTACCTTGAACTAGCTGCGAACCAAGTTTGGGAACCACTGATGTAAAGGCACACTCACCTCTTGAGCACCTCTGAGCAGCAGGGGGCAGTAGCACTGTCCTTTTCTCACCCCTGCTACCCCTGCTACCCTCTGCAGGCTGCTGGACAACTTCATCAGGTATTCAGTAGCTTCACACTCTGACCACATCAAAAAGTCCAAACGAACACTTTCTAGGGTAGCAAAGAGTCCAATAACCAATTAGTCTCTTTTCCCTCACTACGGTCTACAGTCCCAACTCTGAGCCTTTGAAATTCAGTCCTTTGTTTGGGCTCCCAAATAAGCTATGTCCCCTTTTGGGGGATCACTTTACCTGTGGCTGGTAGGGGAACCCAGGCCTGCTCACTGCTCTGGATTGCAGCCTACAGACTACACACAGCAGCCACCTACTGCTTATTCCAATACTGTGCTGCTATTTCCCTGGGCCTCTTCCTACTAGGCCCTTTTATTTCCAGCCCTATCTCAGGGCCAGCATCATCAGGTCCTTCTCTGTCTGCAATTCCAGCTATACCAGTTCAGTCAGCCATAAACTCTGTCTGAGTGTTGGACTCCTGTAACCAGAGAGGAGCCCCCTTCTTTACTCTTCTGGTCCCAGCCTTGAACTGATCTGCTAAGGCCCTGCAGCTCCTTTTACCTGGACCAGCTGGAACCTGACTGGCTGTTGCTATCCCCTCTAGCCCTTGAAGAACCAGATCTCTGGGGTTTCTAAAATGGTAGCCTCTCAAGTTCAGACTCACCTTTGCTGCTTCTTGATGCCAACATTGCTATTTCCTGGGGTAGGGTGTAGTAGGATTGCAAGGCCTCCTGTAGCCTTAAAATCTCTGGTCAGAAGAGAGTGAGATACAGGTTTCCACCCAAGAAAGATGACAATTGGGAGCTGGAAGCATAATGTGGGTGCCCTTGGTGGACCACATAAGGGAACACAGGTGCAGTTGCCCTTAAACTGTGACTGACTGTATTCCATGGTATTGTAAGCAAACTTATTTTAAACGTAGTGGAAGTGATTTTTATCAAATGATGGGGCACATTCTGTCCCCCATGCCAGCCTCTATATGCTGCTCCAGGATTCAGAATTTATCCGAAATTGGCTGAAAGAGTATAGGTGCAGTGTAGGATAGCTGTAAGCAGTTACCCTCTGCCCCCACGCCCGATTTGTGGGCTGATCTGATTCATGCCGGGGTAGTTTTGGACCCCACAGCAGGTCAGAATCTCAAGGGCATAAAGTTGGTGTCCTGCCACCTAGCCTCTCTCCCTACGTCCCCCAGCGGTGTAAGTAAGTGAAGGTGCAGAACAGAATCACAACCTACATGTTCTGATGGGAAAACAAACCTCAAAAAGTCAGAAGTTCAGAAAGCATCTGAAATCTAGGTGATGAATCCTCCCTCCCATTATGATCCTGGCCACTGCTGCAGATAGTTAGCCAGGTGGAGGTTACTTCTCCTAGCAAAGTCACTATGTAGCACTATTTGGAAGGCTGTCAGTGCAAAATGTCACCAACAGAAACTATCCAACATCAGAAAACATTATGACAATATATCTGTGTGTAACCCCCCTGGGTGTGGTCTTCTGTCCCATCTAGTGGCAGAGAGAGAGAGAGAGAGCGCCCAATGACATCCAGGGTCTGTCGGTGTTACAAGTGGGGGCTCGTCCGAGATTTCAACTGGGAAGTCTCTGAAACTCGTGACGCACTTTCTCAGCTAGGGGAAGTATGTAACCCACACACCTCCTGGCTGTGTTGTTCTGTCCCATCTGATGGCACTGAGACTACTTAGAGAGAGAGAGAGAAATAGATTAATGAGTCCGCTCTAGCACCTTAGCTAAGAGTCAGTTGGCTTTTAGCTCATGCTGTAGAGGCTCAGGCACTAAGCTCCAGAGGTCCCAGGTTCAATCCCACCTTCCAACAACTGGGGTATGTCAGTGTTACATATGCACAACACAAATTCAGTTTTTTCTGCCAGTGCAACATATTAACATATTCACTGGTGCATTTGTAATTCAGTCTGATTATGTTAGTGCATGTTGAATACATCACACAAAAATGGCTAATATAAAAGTACCAAGATCATCTTGTGTCTACCACTTTTATGTTGCGCTAGCAAAATACAAATAAAATAAAGTCTAGGCCTTGATCCTGTAAGTTGCTTCACACAGATTTCCATGGAAGCCATTCATTTACAGGAATGTGGCCTTAGACCAGGTCTACACTATATGCCTTTATCAATATGGTAATGTCAGTTAGGAGAATTTGGGGATTTTTTGTTAATGACATTTCGATATCAGCAAAAGCCCTTGTATAGATACAGTTATGCCAGATTAAAAGTGCATTTGCCAGGATAGCTTATTTTCTTCAGGGAACTAGTATAAATTATACAGGAAAGCACTCTTGTCAGAATAAGCTTCATCTCCACTAGAAGGATACATTAGGCCTATGAGCGTGCTACAATTTGGACCCTGATCCTGCAAACACTCGTGCATACATACTTTCAAGATTGGGGCTTTAGTGATGTAAAAGAAAATAAACAATTTCATTTCCTCTATACATTTTAAGAGCTTCCCAAATTATGGAAAGAGAAGTGTCCAAGGCACAGCTCTTACCATGAATTCTAATGGATAAAATAGTTGGATGTGCACATCAGTAAGACCAAAGGAGCTGTGCAGGAAGAAAAATACACAGTATCAAGAAATAACTCAATTTTTCTTTGTTTCTTTTCTTTTTTTCCTTTTCTCCATTAGTGTGAATAAAAGAGAGAACATAAATTCTAAGCTCTTTATTTCTAGAAGTAACTAATTATATCACAACTTGTCTTCTTAGCAAAATAAGTTCTGAGATCGAGCCTCCTCAACGGCGTAATTGCAGGGGTCAGTTCATGTCACCATTGCTGTTCGATGTCTATATATGGAGAGCTGGTAATATAACAAGCTGTTCTGTAACTATTTATTCAAACATAAATTGAATTTCTCTTGCCCTTACCATGTGGTTCACCTCTTTGAAACCATTCTGACAATTCCAATTAATACATGGATAGACTTTAGATGGTGTCTCCTTACTAGAGCTGGTCAAATTATTTGTTGCTTGTTATATTCATTACAAATGCAGATCCCCTTTTTGGTTAGTTAGTTATTTTCAAACAGGTTTCCTTGCTGAATACTCTAGACATATCTTTTTCAGACTGTAGGGTATTTGTGAACTGTTTTATTTATCTAATTGCTATTTGTTATTTTTGCCAGGTGCTTGGTCATCTAAGTCACATGGTATTGTTTCTGCTCCCTGACTGCTGACAAACATTCGAAGCAGGAGGATCATGAATAACAATTAGTAAGTAGCCAACTTCCCATATGATGTTGTCAGATGAGCAATTATTCATGCTGAAATTGGCAAATATTTTCTCAAATAACCAGTAGCTGTCCAATTATAATCATCAACGAGTAATTAGATGATAATGGCAAATTAACCTTGCGGGTTGGATTCACAAATCGGGTTATTCACTTTCAACCAGCTCTGGTCCCTACTTTCAAACTACCTGTAGTTGTCCAAGAGATGGAGCAAGGGACAAAAGCTACTGAAGGGGGGAAGGGATAGCTCAGTGGTTTGAGCATTGGCCTACTAAACCCCACTTTGTAAGTTCAATCCTTGAAGAGGGCCATTTGGGGCAGAAATCTGTCTGGGGATTGGTCCTGTTTTGAGCAGACCTTCTGAGGTCCCTTCTAACCCTTATATTCTATGATCAGAGAAGAAACTGTCTATGAAAAGGAGATCTGTGCAGATAGATCAACTACTGTATATTAATCAGAGTTGCATCAATAATTAAATAGTATTACAGTGCTTAGGTTAGATCTTCTGGTATAGTTAACATATACTATTGGAGGAACTTATCCATGACTCCAGACAATGGAGGATATCATTTTGTAAAAAAGAATTTGTGCCAAATACATATGGAGAGTTCTATTTTCCTTATTTCTTATATATGGTTTCCTTTTCATGGCAATTTTTTTGCTCTCTTCCTTATGATTTCCTTGTTGCTGCTACATGTTTGCTAGCTAGGAAAATAGAATTAATTTGCTTTTACCTGAAAGGCCCTGATCATTTCTGATGCGCATTTCTTCCCCTTTTCCACAATATACTGGCATTGCAGCAGCCTATAACTGAAATTAAACAAACATGTTGAGAGACAAAATTTTTGGAAGGGATTCTGAAAGGAATGCCATATACAAAATTTCAAATTCACACAGAGAAACCACAGCAATAACATGAATATATATGCAATTTAATCACACTGTAATAACTACATTGCAAATTAAAAAAAAAACTTTGATGTACTAGATAATAGACAATTACCTTATAGAATAATCAGTCCTGTTGTGTTTGGCTAAGTCTGTACAGTGCTTCACATTTATTTTTGCACAGCAGTGTTTTATTCAGTGTACATTAAGAAAATACTCACATACTCTATTTGTTGAGGTAAGTTGTTTTTGCCTGAGGTTTTTCATTGCAGTGTGCCTCAAAAGACAAGAATGTCCAGTTTTAGAAAACAAATCAACAGGATTGTTCAAAACATACTTGTGTGTGACTAACAGGGTCTCTAGCTGTTACCAGTCTTTGTAGCCCTACCACTTTTAAAGAATCTATAGCATAGAGCTTTACTAGTCCTCAGTGACTTCTGTTCGCTTTGCACTATGCAAAGTGGATTAACCTGCAATACAGGACAGACTATAGATCATATGTAATCTTAACCTTGTGCCAGGGCCACCAAATGGCTCTTCATGGTTCACAGTCATGATAGTCAACTAACCTTGGCCAAGAGGACTAATTTCAAGTAAACTTAACCTGACTCATGGTTTCTGGTGGAACTGAAACAAAAGTTGATATTTTCACATCTAAAATAAAGCAAAATCTAGTTGAAGTTCAGATGATTTGGGAGGTACATTTGAACACAATAATTCAAAGCCGAACTCCAGGAAAGCATCTGCTTTAGCTTCTGTAGAACCTTATGCAAATTAAACTTCGGCAGCTTCTCTGTAACTTACATAGTACATCTCAATGTAAGAGGGTTTGGCAAATAAGCAGGTCAGGCTTGTTTGTCATTTATTTAAATAATTTATAATGCATCTATCAAAGACAGCCATGTACCATACACAAGCCACAGTACTTTAAATATCTGAAAGAAAAGCCAACCAAACGAGATACATAATCTGACTATGTCAAATATCTAGCAAATGAACTAACCTAACCTCAGACAAGCCACCCCACCTCAGCTAGGAAAGTGTGCATGCCAACCCCAATAAGTATATCAACAACTTCCTTGATCTCCTATCTATCTCTCATCTGAACTAACTTCCTTACAGCAAGGAAGCTTCAACTGACTCTTTGGGGGATAAAAAGGTTAGATTAAAGTGGGAAGAAGGCAGGGGAGGAGAATAGAAAAGTAAAGTTTCCCAACTTTGGATACCTCCTAACTCTAGATATTCCCATCCATTTTATTTTATGTCTCTCTTCTAAATTGCAAGATCTCCAGGACAAAGATTATCTTGATATTTGGGTATTATATAGGACCAAGGATATTTTCAGTGCTAACCCAAATAATAGCAAATATATAATAAATCCTTTGGATCTGAAATAAATGCTTTTGCCCATCTGAGTATAGTTATCTGAAAGTATCTTGGGATTTTATTGCTACATGATCATGTGATGTTTTAATATGGCTTCTAGGAATCTACAGAAAAAAATATGCTGCGTGATTGTTTTTTCATTGACTTTTTCATTATTTGTGATTTTAGTGCTGTCTGTACAATCATCATAGCAACAGTGTGAAACAGAAGAGTTTAACATTGTAGATGAGTTTCTGAAAATTTAGATGTGTTTACACTGGCATTTTATGAAGATCAAATATTTAAATCCATTATTTTAGGTCTCATTTTATTTTAGACAGAAGTTAAGAAGGATTCCGTGAAAGATATTTAATACAATAACAGAAAGCAAAAGATAAAACAGATGAGTGACTGACTCCTCCCAATGTCAGTTTATGCAGGCTTTTCATTACTCGGAACAATCTACTTTATTAGAATGCACTGACAACCTTTGTTTTCAGCTAAATCTACACACTGCCTTCAAACAACACATTTACTCTTTCTCAGAGGCATCTGGATTCCAAAGCTTGGGTTGAGGACACCAGAGTCCAAGGTCTAAAATTATCCAAAGGGCAGGTATAGTGGAGGTAGACACAAAGCAGATTTTCATTAACTGCTCTTGTCTGTGCACCTCAGCCCTCCAGTGGGGTGAAAGTGTATTTTTCTGTTCAGGCTCAGGCTCATTTAGGTTTGTGTCTCTTCTGAGCAAAGCCTGCCAACTCACAAATTGTGCCAAACCTCAATATAGTTCTAGGAGGTACAGTGGTCTTTAGCCCTCTAAGAAATGAAGCCAACTAACTTTGCATGTATTACATCTCTTTGATTAGAATAATTGTCGTCGGCCTCACCAAGCATTGATTTGTAGTCTCGGAGGTGTAAAGTCAGGGACTAAAAGATAATTATACCCAACTCCCGTGTGAATAGTTACATTAAACGAAAGTAATGAATTAAATTACTGATGTGTTGAAGGAACATTAATATTATACAGCTATTCAGAGCTAGCTTAAAGCTAGCTTTCCACTCATGCAAAATAATATCTTAAACATTTACTCCATGGAATAACATGTCCATAAAACCAAGTGTCACTAAAAGCTAAAGCAAATTGTCAGCAGAAGTTAAATATGAAACATTCCACAACATTCATTTTTAGACCAGTTTTGAAATGTTAAGTTACCCCCTAAAAAAAGACTCCATAATTTCCTGATGATGCTCCTTTTTGACAGTGAAAATGCCTTACCTATCACTTCAAGTCTTCTGATCCTCTAGGTGGCCTTTAGGGGGAATCCTGCCCACCTTGCTGAGAGTCACTGCAGGTTTTTAAGTTTGTACTGCTACACCGCACAGCCTAAAGCTTAGTGCAAAGAATATGATGACAGATTCCTTAATCAGTTTATGATGAATCAATGTGTATTGGAATGGGACCACCAGAATACTTATTTTACCACCATGGGGAAAGAAGTTTTTTACTTTTTTAACTTGGGGCAAGATGGTGGTCAGTCATCTGCTGGCAGATAGGCGAACGGCTTCCATGAAGACACTTAAAAGTTCCTCCCCATATGTATAAGTGGGGAATTTGCAGGAGGAGGTGGGAATGGGCAGAGTCTTTGCAGCTGTACCTGTTGTGCCTGGTATTGGGCAGACACAGATTGTCATTCATAAATCAGGGGGGTGGAATCAGGAGGCAAACTCTGACTCTGCTTCCTACTGTGCTCCTCGGGCAGTGTAATAACTCACTGCCCGATATGCAGAGTTTTTGGCAAAGCCACAGTTCAGCCTATATGGCCTTGTTTTGACAGTATTTACTGTTCTACTTTGGTCTCCTACATTTTTATTTGCCATTAACTTCCACACAATCTTTCCACTACCTATCTCTCTTTTTTACATTTGATTCTGCCCAGCTCTTGCTTCTCTCTCTTTTTTTTTAATCCTGATGCCAGCAGTTCTACTCATTGACTTCAGTTTCAGTTCAGAATTAGTGAACGGCCGGTCACCTTTAAAAACATTTCTATAATATAACACGTCATTATGTGTCCCTGATTCACTGTCTCCTTTTTCCTTTCTGTTCACAATGGGAAGTCCTGTGTCCTCACACTTCCCAGGTAGAGTCTTTCTTGTATCATCTGATTCAGTCAAAAGGGAGTAGCAATGGCTGCCCGAAGAGGCTGCAGCATCTAAGGAACAAACAAACAAACAAAAAAAATCTGGTGCAGTTTAGGAGGAACTGGCACAAAAAGGGGAGATAACAGATGGTCTGGGTAGGAACTTCAGCCTGTAGGAAAGAAGAAAAGAGAAAGGGTCAGTTGAGGAGGTGGAGCTACAAATATTATTTTAACTTTTTTTTAAAGATTCAATTTTAACACCTTTGTAAATCATAGCTGTTTACTAGCACTAGCCATCTCCTTTATGGAAACAAAGCAGGTTTTTTTAGAAGAGGAAAGAGCCACTGAAAAGGGAACCCAGTTGTTATCCTTCTAAGCCCCTCAAAATATATTCTCAAGTGTTTACTCTTTGCTTGTAAAGCCTTGCAAAGTGAAATCTGTGCATGTCGGCCAGCTCATACCCAGCACCAGGCCTATTTTTAGAATAATTTTAGCTCACTATGAAAACAGTTGAGTGCATTTTCATTAAGTCTTTTAGTTTCCATGGCAAATGGGGCAATTATTTCTGCTGAAACTGATGGCTTTTACTTACACTTTCAAAATGCATTTCATATTATGCTGATATTATGGTCCAGAAACAAATGCACTAGAGGTCTATTGTTCACAGCAGGTTCTCAAACTGAAAGGTATAGCAGGTCAATATGACCTTGCAGTTAGGTTCATGGAAACAGTGCATGACGTATTGACGTCAAATGACAGACATTCTTCTTAGCTTGAAACAATGGCAAAGATCTTGATTATTAATCACTAAGAAAAGGAAAACCTGAAACAGGAAAGCTGGGGATTTAACTTTGATTTTTTGAGACCCAGTCCAGTGTCTTAACCACAAGGCCATATTCTCTAAAATAGTGAAACCATAATTATAACATAAACAAAATCAATACATAAGGACCTATGAGTGCACAGGCACCGACTTCCCAAAGTGCTGGGAGGGGGGGGTGCTTGACCCCCCCAGCTCTGCCCCAGACCCCACCCTCACTCCACCCCTTTCCCAAAGGCCCCACTCTTTCCCACCTCTTCCTGTGCCACTCCATCCCCACCCTGCCTCTTCCTGCCCCATTCCACCCCGCCTTTTCCCGTCCAGTTCTGCCCCACTCCCCCGAGTGTGCCATGTCCCCAAGTACCTATCCTGCCCCACCTCCTCCTGCCCCCACTCCACCCCCACCCCACCTTTTCCTGCCCCCGCTCCACTCACACCCCACTTCTTCCCACCCAGTTCTGCCACCTCCTCCGAATGTGACACATCCCCCCATTTAAAGCCATGAATAGTCCTTGACTAGAATAGCATTCTCCCACCAACTTTGAGGGGCACTGGGATGACCTGATCATTGCAAATGGACCTGTAGCCCCTTCTCCTGGCTTGGCTGACCCTACTGTGGCCTTCTTCACCAGCTTATTTAAGGTAAGTTTGGGGATCCTTTCCCTGGCCTAAAGGGGCAGGCAATACCCCTGTAATGGTCACTCCACAAGCAGACACCCCATGCAGCCCAAAGTAGAGCTTAAACCATGTGGAAGAGTCATAGGTGAATTTCTCCCATGAAAGAACTCGAAACTGCATTTGTGACTTATGATTTCTTTCTTTGTGCAGTGGATTTATTCTCCCATGGAACAATTAAGGAGGCTTCATGCCCTGAATGCCTCAAGAGACCTGGCAGTGGCTCGGTGCTTCCATCCTACTTCCTGGGTGATTCTAGCACCCTTGCTAGCATGTCTCCCTTTATGGGAAAGTTATATGGAATGTAAGGGAAAATAAACAGGTTTCTAAAAGAAATTGTTCTAAAAACATGTAGAATTAAATAGACAATGAAATCTTTGCTGTACAATTCTGTAGGTTGGTTTAAAAATTCTACAGAACATTTATCATTCTTTACTAAATTATACAGGACTTTGCCATCAGGGTCCTGTAGGAGCCACATGAGCAGATATGTCTTATGGATATGGTCTCCAAAACCCCATGCATGTGAGGGAATCAGCATAAGTTAGCATTAACTTAGCGATGGATATCTGCAGTGATGAAGGGAGAAACAATTTTTCAAATAGCACCATCCCACAGTCTCTCTGCCCTCTTCTTTTTGCCACCCCAAAAACCCATGCCATATGGAAGGTCCTTCATTAATCTGAAACAAGTGGGCAGCATGCTGTGGAATGGGTTCTACTCCTTTCCTCACTCCACAAGACATATCTTCATACCTTCCACTTGGGTTTAATCAGGCCAAAAAATCATCACCTAGCTCTCAAAGACTCCATCACTTAAAAAATAACAAGTTTGAGTCTTCTTCCACTGAAGTCAATGGGATCAGGACCCATATATTTGTAAAGAAACTGAGTTTTGTAGACATTCTTTTTTTGGTTACTTCCATCAATGTTTCTGTACGGAGTATTTGATAGTATAACATGTTAGAAAATGCAAAGACCTATGTGCAGGAAGCAACCCTTTAACTGAACAGTAATGGTATTTAATGAGCCTTACAAGGAGCAGTGCAAATTATTTGAAATGAAGTTTAATATACCTCCATTTTGGTGCATGATTCACGTAGTCATATGCCAGCCTTCAAAATTACAGTCAGACTCTGGGCCATTATTATAAGGAGGTTGTGGGAGATATTTTGAAATTTGATGTGTGTATTAGGAATAAAGATCCAGCTCTCCCATTTCTCCTTTTCTTCCTCCCACACACACTTATTCATTATCCAGCTTAGCTGCATTGTGTTGCAGTACAAAGTCCACCTTGCTATCGCTAGAATATATTATGCTTATTGTCAGATAACCTGGACCCTAGAATAAGGCAGATCCCCTGGATGGCACGGCATTTTTACAATATATAAACATCTGTCCAGCAAAGATCCACCACGAGCAGAAAGTTGCAGCAAACTTATGATGATTGGGGTCAGTTTCTATAACATAAATACAAATATTCTCTAATGCCTCCATTTCACGATTCATCATTCATGATTTAAATAATCTACATCAATCACAATGAAGAAACATAGGTGTAGGATGGAAGTATATTTTGGTCTAAAATGGCAGACGACATTCCTAATTAATGCCAGCTGAAAAGTATAATCAAGACTAGAGGCATTTTGTCTTTCAGACTCTTTCTATTTTTATTTCTCTGTCTCTCTCGTTGTTGACAGGCAATAGAGGCAGAAAAGACATTTTAAACAAATTTGGTTTTATCTGAACTTCTGATATACAGATTTACTACTTTTATTGTTTTAGATTATTTTTTTAGCTCATTTTATGTTACATAGAAAGGACTTAATCTTGCAACTATATAAAATCCCTTTTCAGGCAAATTCCCATTAAAAACTAGTGTGAAATTTTGCCTGAGTAAGGACTGAAATCCATATTCCACCCTCATTGGGAGTACTGCACACTGAACAATGGTAAAATGTGACCTGAGCAAAGACTGTAGGAATTGACCCAAACTATGTAAAGATAAAACGGAATATTATCATTTCATCTACTGAATAGCTACATGCCCCTCACACTCTCTGTAGAAGACAAATGCAATTCAGTCTCTGTGTTATTATAATAAGGCTATATTCTTGTCTCATTCATTGTGTTGAACATTTATTGTTGTGAATGGAAGTACTCTGTAGAGATGAAGAAAAAATATTGCCTTATGAGCCAAATTCTCCTTTCAGTAGCACCAGGTGCAACATCACTGAAGTTAATGGCTTTACACGAGGGTAACTGGAGAAGAGAATTTAGCCCGATAGATAGATAGATAGATAGATCTTGTCTTAAACAGGTATTGTCAAACGTGACAGAACTATAGTTCTAAAATGTCTCTCTTATGAGAAAATCTAATGTGTAATGTCATTCATTAGAATGTAATAGGGTGTAAACCAAAAGGGTTTTATAGAAATTTAATTACTATACAAACTCAAAGCATTTAATAGAGAATGATGTCCTTTCCATAGTTTTGATTTTTTTTAAACAATTATATATCAGGGATATAATTTCCTATTAACTTCTGTATGATGGCCCAAAAAGCCAATAGAAAATTTTCAACTTCACTGAAATTCTTCAGCCTTTTCTGTAAGGGACTCCAGACTGGCATCTGTTAGGAACCAAGAACACCAAACCTGCCTCTCTTCCGATTCCTTGTTCAAACTTAAAACATGAAAAAATGGCCAAAGACTGGAGTATGCACTGAGACTCACTTGTTGCTATCCCCCTGACCTCTTACTTTATGTATGTTTGAGGAGCCCAATATGTTCTGTAATATAACTAGTATAGACCCAACCTTACAGAAGTCGTTTTGCAGCCAAAACTCCCACTTCATTTTTAGCTTTGCCTGAGTGTGAAACAAGTGAAAACTGCAGTACTTGACTCCAAAAAGTTGAGGAGATTTTGTTCTTCATTTTGATTAAGACTCTTGCACCATATGTTCCAAATCCTGCAAAGTACAGCACAGCTCATAAAGTCAATTTATTTAATGATTCTGCATTAGATAAAAGGATCAAATTAACATCAATTGAGCAATTTGCAATCATTTTAAATAGGACCCTAAAAAGTAAACTGAAAACTTACTCAGGTTACCTCCTAAACTAACACCACTTACTAATTTGGTCACGTTACTGGGTTATACTTTATAATCTAAAAAGCCAATTAATACAGCTGTCATGCAAAAATAAAATATTGAAGTTTCACATATACTTAACTTTCAGCTTAATGATAAATTGAATTAATATTTTCCTCTCAATAAATCTAATAGAAAAAAAATACTTAGTTTAAGATAATTTTATTTCTCTGTTATCAGCTAAAGCAGTCTTACTTCAGGTTTCCGCTTTCCAGTTTTACTAACAGTGGGAGGGAATTTCCTCCAACTCCTTATCAGCTTGAACCACAACCCCTGCACTGACTTCTGGTTCACTGACAAATTACACTCCCTTAATCCCCATCCAGGAAAGTTTTAATGAGTGCACTTTTTTTATTTTGTACTCAGGACTTTGAAATGATACGGCATATGACAATTTTTACATTTATCCAAAAAGTGAAACACAAACTTGCAGCCACAGACTAAACTTCTTGCTAAAACTCAGGGGACACTTGCAGCTTAATATCTGTCAGAAGCATCTAAACTTCTTTTCCTTTCACATATCCAGTCTGGCTTTACTATTATTATTTATATGATGGCTCAAAAATATTATCTCAGTAAATTATTCAGTAGTTCTCAGGGGCATTTAACTAACTTCTAAGAAGGATAGACAGGTATTCAGCTTAAGAAGCAAAATTAAAGAAACTATGTATTAAATATACCCGAGGGAACATTACACTCTGGTAATTTTACTGAGGGGTTCAAAATTGCAAGGCCAAAGGAGAAGTGGTTTGATTCTATAATAGGAGTCTATGACATGAAAGCCTTCGTTAAGCTCCACTTTGATATCCTGTCCCTATATATAGTTCTTTCTCACTGCTGTCAAAGGCAAGAAATGCTGTAAAGCATATTTTTAATGATTTGTTATTTTATGCTGGTTACTTATTGCAGCTGACCTTCATGTCTGGTCATTTAATAATGTTGATTTGCAGGATTTAAAGGTCCATCATGTATATTTCAATTTACTGTCAGCATACCATGACTCAACAACCTTCCTTACCCAGACTCAAAAATTAAAAATATTTAATGTACCTACCCCATTAAGTAAAAGCTACTACGAATATGCTAATATTAAATGTTGTATATTTCATGAATTAACATAATTCCCTCCCCGTTATCAGAAAAAATATATGATTTGGTTTCCATGCCCAGCACAGGCAGTATTCATGCAAGTCCCAACTTCAAATGGCATTGTTTGTCCAGCTGTGTATGACTTCCTACAAGGCCTATAGCCTCTTCAATTCACAGTCTATTAGATGCTTCACCATTTCTTACACAAAGATACAATATCCACCATTGTTAACTGTACCATGATTGCATTACTTTAAGTCTTCCAAATGCACACTCCTACTACCATCATGAACCTACTGAATTTGTCTGCATTTGCATAGTCAGGGTGTGGCTTCATGAAATGGAGGAAGAGTGGGTAAAACTCAGCAAAAACTATGGGAGGAATGGAGAATCCATTACTATCAATATTGTGGGCTGGGAAGAATTTGTTTTTCTGTCCCCTCGGTTTTTGAAAAATTCTTGCATTATGCCTTTGCTGGCCAGCTAGTGACAACATCTCAGAATTGTCCATGATGACCCACAAAGTCTTGAATCACTGTGGAATGGTAGCGTTTTCTGTTAATAAACAGGTAGTGTCCTGGGCTTCTCTGAGGTGAGCACAGAATGGGTATGTGCATATCCTCTATAACTCCAGTGGAGTTCAAAAAGACTACTGTTCAAATGTAATGTAATTAATGCAAAACAATATGTGTTTATGGAAAATAGATCCTGTCACACTAACCTGATATCTTTTTTGATGAAGTTACACATCTGGTTGACAAAGGTAAAGGTAATAGTGTTAATGTCATATGCTTAGACATCTGTAAAGCATTTGATTTGATAATGCATGACATTTTGATTAAAAAACTAGAATTATATACAATTAACATGGCACACATTAAAGGCTGGCTAACAGATAGGTTTCAATATGTAGCTACAAATGGGGAATAGTCACCTAACTAGTGTGTTTCCAGTGGGATCCCACAGGGATTGGTTCTTGACCCTAGACTATTAACATTTTTATCTATGACCTTGAAGAAAACATAAAATCATCACTGATACTGTTTTCAGATGACACAAAGAATGAGGGACTGGTAAATAATTAAGAGGAAAGTCACGGATTCAGAGCCATCTGGACAGCTTGCTAAGCTTGGCAAAAGCAAACAATAAGTGTTTTAATATAGCTAAATGTACATGTATACATCTAGGAATAAGGAATGTAGATCATATGTACAGGATGGGGGACTGTATCCTGGGAAGCAGTGATTCTGAAAAAGGTTTGGGGGGTCAAGCCAGATAAACAGCTGAACATGGGCTCCCAGTGTGATGCTGTGGCCAAAAGAGCTAATGAGATCCCGGGATGCAAAAACAGGGGAATCTCAAGTAGGAGTTTAGAGGTTATTATACCTCTATATTTGGCACTGATATGACCACGGGCTGGAATACTGTGTACTGCTCTTGTACCCAAATTTTAAGAAGGATGTTGATAAATTTGAGAGGCTTCAGAGAAGATCCACAAGAATGATTAAAGGATTAGAAAACCTGCCTTATTGTGATAGACTCAAAGGGTACGTCTATACTTACCTCCGGGTCCGGCGGTAAGCAATCAATCTTCTGGGATCGATTTATCGCGTCTTCTCTATATGCGATAAATCGATCCCGGATCAATCCCGCAAGTGCTTGCCGTCGACACCGGTACTCCTGCTCCACGAGAGGAGTACGCGGAGTTGATGGGGGAGCCTGCCTGCCGCGTGTGGACCCACAGTAAGTTTGAACTAAGATACTTCGACTTCAGCTACATTATTCACGTAGCTGAAGTTGCGGATCTTAGTTCGAAGTGGGGGGGTTAGTGTGGACCAGCCCAAAGAGCTCAATAAATTCAGCTTAAGGAATAGAAGGTTAATTGGTGACTTGGTTACAATCTAAAAGTAGCTACTTGGGGAACAAATATTTAATAATGGCTCTTCAATCTAACAGAGAAAGGTATGATGCTCCCATGGCTGGAAGCTGAAACTAGAAAATCCAAACTGTAAATAAGGTGTACATTTTTAATAGTGAGAGTAATTAACCATTGGAACAATTTATTAAGGCTCTTGGTGGATTCTCCATCACTGACAATTTTTAAATCAAGAGTGGATTTTTTTAAAAGATATGTTATAGGAATTATTTGGGGGAAAGTTTTATGGTCTGTGTTATACAGGAGGTCAGACTAGATCAGGAGTCGGCAACGTTGGCACGTGGCTCGCCAGGATAAGCACCCTGGCGAGCCGCGTGCCGAACGTTGCCGACCCCTGGACAAGATGATCACAACTATCCCTTCTGGCACTGAAATCTATGAATCTATAAAATCCCTAGGTAACCTTGCACATATTTTCTATCTTAATCATATGTCATATTTCACCTGTGCTTATCTCATCACAAGGATGAAGGAGGAAGGGAATTTGTTACTGATTTAAAGAACCATAACAAGTAACAGAGATAAACAGCACTACGTGCCATAAAAACAGGAACACATGGATCCTGTCACCAATTCCAATTATTATATACACAACAAAGAACAGTTGCTTCCAAAAGCAGCAGAACAACTAAATTGTATATAAAGGTGCTAATAAATATATTGCCAAGTAGAAAAAATATTAAAAATATTCCCTGCTTCCCAAAAACATTCAAAAGAAAAGTCTTAAGATATAACTACAGCATCCAACTCACCTGTTACCAGCTCTTCAGAAAGGAATAATACGGAGTTCTGCATTACTGGTTAATACAGTTCAACACTGCCAGGTGACAGTTAATGGATAGTCAGAGACACAGTAACCTTTGATACCAGAGTTCAGGATTTCCTGCTGGTCAGCACAAGCTGATGCAGTCAATTCCATCTCTCCCCCACGCCACCTCCTTAAATAAGCTTGGTCTTTCAAGAAAGACACATTACTTGGAAATATGTAATGAATGCTTTGTAGGTCTAGAAAGGGTAGTTAGGCACTGTACCTGGAACCCTCTTGTCCATTTTAGGTAACAGAACTGGTCATCAGAGGTGGAGTGAGCAATACATATGTCCGTTTTTCATGTCCTAAGAGAAATTGGTACTGAAGTTATTGGGGCTTTGTAGTTTAGCCCTTGTATAAAGAACAAGGCAATCTACATTACTGCGGATATTTTCCAGGAGAGTTTATTCTTGTACGGTAAAAGGTAAGAGTTGTTTCCCTCAGCACATTGTCTGCCTAAGTTGTTGGAGTTAAAAATAAGGAAAACTACTGTGTGGAAATCCATCTCAGTCTCTTTCTTTGACTTTATTATTACAGGTAGACTGAGCATGTGGTGGCCAGATTTACAGGTGAAGGGGATATGCTCCGTGTGTCGAGGTTGGTGTGGAAACTGTAATTGAGAATTTCCTGACTTTTTTGCTTTTAAATTCTAAACCTTAACTTTGAATCAATATTTTTTTCACTGTTGCTTACCTTGTTTTGTTTTAAAATCTGTTGCACCATCACAGGTACATAAAGAAAGAACACTTTCATGTGCTTGTGTAGTACAGTGGTTGGTATTACAGTGAGGCTTTGCTCCACAGACTCAGTGACACATTTGCAGTTCTCTTTGACACTCTTGCCAAACGACACTGTGTTATTGCAGATTCAGCAGTGAAGATCTACTTCTCTTACACGGTGGTTCTACTGCATAGCCAGTAATTATTCAGGCTCACTGTCACATACCATGGCCTTTTCATTTTTGCTGAACCATAAACATTTCTCTGTTTGTTATGTATAACCAATCGGTTTGCAGTGAAACTTTCATTAAATACTTTGTGATTGTCTAGCACCTCTCATCAAAGGAGCACACAGTACATTTCAGAAATGTGTGTTTATTCACCCCACTTCACAGATAGGGAAGTCAAGGTACAAATCGGTTAAGAGGCCACCCTATTGAACCCATCTCAGGGCTCAGCATAGGTCAAACTCAAAATGGAGTTTTGCCTTTTTAATGAATGGCTCCAGAATTTCATGCCAAATCTTCTGATTCCAAGTGCTTTGTTCCAACTAAATTAATGTTGCCTTTCACGTATACTGGAGCAATAACTTGGTTCAGCAAATCACATCCTAGATTTTTATTTCCAGCAGCACATTCTGCGGTTTCATTTCTAATACTAGAATTTATAAATCCCTGAAGTTGTTTTAATGTATCAATTTTATTGATAAGGAAAATAATTATATTTGTTGAATGCTCATCCTTTAAAAAAGCTGGATCTCACAATGATTCAAATCCAGTTTATCCAATTAACTTATTTCCAGTCACATTTAAGTAAGCCTTATTTACTTTTTAATATAAATCTGCTTCTGAAGAAGGAATAAGCACATAAGAACATAAGAATTGTCATACTGGGTCAGACCATCTAGCTAAATGTCCTGTCTTCTGACAGTGGCCAATACTAGGTATCCCAGAGGGAATGAACAGAACAGGTAATCATCAAGTGATCCATCCCCTATCACCCATTCCTAGCTTCTGCCAAACAGAGCTAGGGACACCATCCCTGCCCATCCTGGCTAATAGCCATTGATGGACCTATCCTCCATGAACCTATCTAGTTCTTTTTTGAACCCTGTTATAGTCTTGGCCTTCACAACATCCTCTGGTAAGGAGTTCCACAAGTTGAATGTGTGTTGTGTGAAGAAATACTTCTTTTGTTTGTTTTAAACCTGCTGCCTATTAATTTCATTTGGTGACCCCTAGTTCTTGTGTTATGAGGAGTAAATAACACTTCCTTATTTACTTTCACCACACCAGACATAATTTTATAGACCTCTATCATATCCCCCCTTAGTCATCTCTTTTCCAAGCTGAAAAGTCCCAGTCTTATTAATCTCTCTTCATATGGCAGCCGTTCCATATGCCTAATCATTTTTGTTGCCTTTTTCTGAACCTTTTCCAATTCCAATATATCTTTTTTGAGATGAGACGACCACATCTGCATGCAGTATTCAAGCTGCAGGCATACCATGGATTTATATAAAGGCAATATGATATTTATTTTCTGTCTTATTATCTATTCCTTTCTTAATGATTCCCAACGTTCTGTTCTCTTTTTTGACTGCCGCTGCACATTGAGTGGATGTTTTCAGAGAACTATCCACAATGACTCCAAGATCTCTTTCTTGAGTGGTAACAGTTAATTTCGACCCCATCATTTTATATTTATAATTGGGATTATGTTTTCCAATGTGCATTATTTTGCATTTATCAACACTGAATTCCATCTGCCATTTTGTTGCCCGGTCACTCAGTTTTGTGAGAACCTTTTGTACCTCTTCTCAGTCTGCTTGGGACTTAATTTGTGAAATGTGAAATTTTAATAGCCTGTTGATTTTAAAATGTGACAAAAAAAGTAGACTTTTTTCAAAAAACAAACCAAAAACATTCATTTTTCTGACCCAGATGGCTTGCCTTATTTACTTTGCTCTAATTTGAGACAAACCTTGAGCATCTTCAGACTACAAAGGGATCAGAAATGGTCTTAGAATGACATGGGTCTTTCAACCTTAACTATGCAGTCAACATGACAGTGACTCCATTATCTATGCTTTTATGAGAAATGGATGCAAACAGATATTGTTTCCTCAGAATTATAGAAGACCTTGGAACCTTTTCAAAGTTATATTTATTCCTGGATAGAATTAAAGAAAACAAGTTTTTGTCACCAGCTGACAACTCCAAGACAACCAAATGCAAACCGGTTGTATTTGGTGTTCGAACTGTCTTTTTATTGAGGAGTCTTATTTTATTATCACATCCAAAGTTAAGAGCCGCTGCACATGCACTTCAGTGCACACAGGCTTGGAAGAGACTCGGGACTCACATTTTTCAGTCTGGTGGATACTGCAGCCCGTGTGACATTTAAAGAGTTTTCTCTGTGGGAGGGAAGGGATTGTTTGGATTGCTTAGAACATTCTCTTGCTGGCTTATTCTCAGCACAGTGTTTGTATAGCTGGAGGTGGGGTAATTATTTCTCCTGGCAAACAAAGACAGTCTATATTTATTTGGTTTCTTTCTTCTTTTGACTGAAAACTACAATGGCTACTGGCTAGAAGACTAGTGATCTCTCTCTCTCTCTCTCCCTTCCTGTCATTCTCACATGTCTTCATAGTAGAGTTAAGAACTATAACTAAATCAGTCTTCTCACAGTTTGGTGGGTGCTTATGATCTAATGCTGAAAAATGTACCTCTTTCCCCCCATGCTTCACTCACCCACAAATACTGATACATTTTATTCTCTCCCTTTCTGCAAGGAGTCTACTGAAGTATAAGATACGAGTCATTACCAGTAATCACATTGTTCCTGTCAGATAGTTGCAGACATTCTTGTCCAGTAATCCATTTGTCTCTGTTGCACTATGGTAGGAGTAGGTATAATATCATTTGCCACTACTCAGTGATAGTTCGAGTGCAACAAATATAATGGAGACAAGAGGCTAGATATTGTTTGAAAACTGATTGACAAGTATCTTTTTGTACTTTTTTTTTTAACCTGGCTTTCATCTGCTGCTGTACAATACATGTCCCTGTAGTACCTTTTTCAACACTATGAACTAATCATCTTAGAATCTCCCATAACTATTCTCTGTGCTCTTTTTTTGTCCCGTTATTAATCTCTTTATGCATATAATCTTGTTCTTCCCTTCCCAGCTCATCTTTCATCAGGGAAATGTTCTTTACTATTCAATCTCTATGTATATATCAGGTAGCGAATGTTCCTATTCCTACAGTTCCCTTCTCTGCTTTTTAATTTAAAAAGACACCTGTGTTTCTTTGTGATGCATAACATCATATGTCAAGTTACTTTGTTAACTATCATAGATGTAAATACTCTAGAGAATATCAAATAACCCCCTTTCTTGTTTTCAGTGCATATTAGCTGTAAAAGCAGATGTGAGAAATATGACAATATATTTGGGAGATATTATTGAATTAGTTTTAAGGAGTCCATTGTATTAAATGAAATGTTTATGTATTATTTTGGGCCTAGATGAACAAAGATTATATTGAACAATGTGGCAAACAAGAATGAACTTTTGGGACAATACGTGTGAAGTGGATTTCCTGGGAAATATCTAAGGGGATATGTAGATTCTCCATGCCCCATCACCTCCAATTATGCAACAGCCCAGCCACTTGAAGCAATGCCCTGAGGAGAGGGTAGTTGTCTGCTGATTACCTGTTCCCAAGATCAAAGGTCCAAACTGTCCAAAGGATGGCCCCCCAGATTCATGGGGTGCTTGTTCTGAGCTACAGCAGTTATGAACTTATAACTACAGAAAAAAACCTTTGTGCCATTTGAAGGACTGATCACCTCCCGTAACCCTCATAAAAGCTGGGGGTGATCTCTGGTAAGCTTATTAGCATGTGTGTAATGCTTTCACCTTAAAAATAAATGTGCTGGCTGAGAATGGGTTGTCTGGTAATTTAACTGGGAGTTACATTTTATAGCTTTTTGAGCAGAGAGAAAAGCTAGCCTGCTTAGGCAGTCTGACTTGCTGGGAAACGCACAGTATAGGCACGGAACTGTGCAGCCTGAAAACCCCCTGGTCAGGCAGGAGAAAGACATGGGTCTTCTCCCAAGCCAGGTGATGGCTGAGGAGCTGGGAGACTAAAAGTGGGTGCCATTTCTGGACAGCTGCAGTTGACCTGAACTGTGAAAGCAGATATCCATTTTCACCTAAGGATATACTATATTATCTATTGGTTTATGGCGCCAGTCCAGAAAAGCACTTACACATAACTTTATGCATGTGAGTAGGCCCACTGAAGACAATAGGCCTACTCATGTGCTTAAAGTTATGCACATGCTTTAATGTGCTGCTGGATAACAGGATATTCCTGGAACATGACACATTCTATTTTTGGCGTTGCTGGTTATATTTAAAAACAGTTTTAGTTTTTCTAAAGTACTTTTAAAATAACCAACATATTTTCTTGTCAGCACCTAGCATTATTTAGCATGTGCATTTCTTTCTATTAGAAAAAGCCACTGTCTGCTTGAAATGCAACAAGTCTGGTCTGAAAACAATCAAGTGAAAGTCTTTTTTTAAAGAAACAAAACAACCATGGATACAAATTGTTAATGTCATTCGTAACTTCATGCTGCTGGTTGCTTTGCAAAACAAAGAAGTTTAATACAAAGGACCCCTGAGGCTGTTGAGATGCCAACTCTAAAATATGGTAATATTGTCTATATTTTGATATTGGTTTGCTAGGAAAATCCCTTTTAGATGATGGCTTTGGCAGAACAATGACACAATAATTTGTAGCAAACTATCTCCTGGTATGAGGAAAAATGAATGTCTGTGTAACAGGTAATGAGATTAAACGAGAA